GGCAACTGCTCATCAAAATCACGGCCATCAGTCATCACACCACTGGTCACTGTTTAATATAATCTGTGATACTATATTATAAAAATTACCATAGTAAAAAATATTAATATATGATAATTATTATTAGATATACATAGATATTGATCACGTTTATCACTGGCAGTGCAAATAAAACCGATAATACAAAGTCATGTATAACACAATTCAACAAGGTGTTTATAATAATTATAAATTCTCCATCATTGTTCAGATACAATATGACTACTGTGTACATCTTCTAGTGTCTTTCAGATAAGGTAGGATTGAGTCGAGTTGTAAGTTGTATTATATCTTAATATTGTGAAATACTCGGCACTCCTATGGTTATAACTAGAGCTAGGATTTTAATGACCTAAAAATACACATGCAAAAATGTACTATAAAAATGCAAAAATGACCTAAAAACTCTAAAAAGTGTAATTAGATGAGCAAAAAAAAATGTATTTTAAAAATAAATATTATTATTAATTATTAATTATGAACATAATAGACTTGTGAATGTAACCGCTTCCTGATATAATTATTCTGAAAAATCAATAAAAGCATAAATTATTTTAATTTAATGAAAAATATATTATATTTTTTTTTCACCTGTGCACATATTATTGCCGTTATTATCGTGTTTTATTCCTTCAGTCCATATAAACATGGCTTTATCGAACGCTTTTACAATAGTTGAATGATTTGTTTTTTCCAAGACATCAGAATTTAACAAAAATGTTTTTTTCCTGAATTTTCTGCTTCCGGGGTACCAATAACGATATTTACCTACTACATAACGACCTTCAACATCTGTCATTTCATCTACACTAACCCAAATTTTTTTATCGCCTACATAGTGTCTAATATTTCGTATTGTATTTAAATACCTAGCATTTTTCAACATAATTTTTACATAATGTAGACTCGTCTGGGATTTTAAATTTTATATTTTTTTCTAAAAAATTTCTAAAATTTATGTAATTTAATTTAGGAGGTGGAATATTAGGTGCTAATAATGTTTCACAAAGCTCTAAATTAGATAACGATTGATCACTATTATTTGTTAAATTAGATATAGTACTTGATTATTTTGTTTCACTTCATTCAGTTTTCGTTGAATTCCAAGAGCATGCTTATCTCGACTGATGTGTTGTTGAATTGTAAATTTATTTTTGGAGGCAACTGCAACATTAAAAAACTTTACAAAAATCGGCACCAAACTCGCACACAAAACTAAGTAAACGGCTATCTACTGTTGACTTAATTTTTGGCATTTTGTACAGTAAAGATCGGTAGAACCACATAGGTACGTGTCGAATTCACTACTAAAGCTACTATTGTATACCTAAATAGTTATGGGTTCGTTCGATATTTAATCTTATCGGATAAATCGACAATTAATTATATTACTTTTTTAATTTCAATGGACTGGAGTAGGTAATTGCCTGTAGGTATTAATTGGGATTACCTAAATAAAACATATTAAAAAAGCTTAAAATAAACAAAAATTAACTTAAATACCCAAAATGACCTTAAAAATTCAATAAAATGCAAAGAATGCAAAATAAAAATTACATATTTTAAATTGTTATACTACGAAACAAATCTAGTTTTTGGTTGGAATTGTATAACACTTAGGGAAGAAAAATGCAAAAGTCACCAAAATCCTAGCTCTACTTATAACCATTTTGTCATTTTTCAAGCTTGTTGCAGAGGCAACAGAGACGGATTACGTATGTTTTTGTCTCTTGTCATTAAGTACATTACATAATAATATGTAAGTTTTTTTAAATGGTCATAGTCCATCATTAAATACATCAGTGCAGCACTAATCGATTTATTGATTTAATAAACGTCGTAAAAACGATGTGTTGTGCAATGTGCAATCAAAATCACTCTTGCATTCTTGCACTAATAAATAATAAAATTATAATAATCATAATTATTTTGATAAGCGAACGTATTTTTTTTTTTAAAGTAAAAAATTAATTTTTTTAAATGGTTAACATAATTGGTGTGTAAAAGTTATAACTAATAAGTCTTGAGTTTTGGTATTTTATATTAAATAGATAATCTCAAAATCTGAAACACCCAAATAATAATAGGAGACCTTTTTTTGACAAAATACGTAGCAGATAACGGAAAAGATCCAAATAGGTATAAAATAACGGATTCCAGACTTAAATAGTAATTATAGGTACTTCGCACATAGGTATCAATGACAATTTATTATATTATAGGTGCATAAGTATAAGGGTACATAGTACACACACACATACTTATGCCATTGAATTCGAGTAACTCAATAAATTACACCTTAAATCAATAAAATTATCAAATATTAATAACTTTTTGGTATATAATTTACATTCATTATAATTTATAATTTATAAACATTAACTTAACATCAAAGATATACAATTGTAATCAAATAATTTAATTTGTGTCTTTACTGTAATTATACTTACAAAAATGGGTAAGCTTGATCAAAAAACTAATGCCGAATCGCAAACTTCAAAATTTAAATTAATATAAACATGTAAGATTTTTACTCAGGTATAGAATTTAACACCAGCATATTATTAAGTTACTTTACTTTTTAATCATTATTGTTTTTGAGAGATATTTTATATTGGAGCATTATTAAGTATCAACTACTGATACCTTAATGATCCTATTCCATTTAATAAATTTCAATTTTCAATATATTTACTCCGACAATATTATCTTTTTCAGTTCCTCTAACAGTCTAACGTGAACATTATACATCGACTTTACGTCCAAATTCGTCTACATAAAATATGAATAGTGGCTAGTGAGCGAATACTAAAATATAGTAAATAACATAATATAATTTCGACACAAAAATATCCAGTTAAAAAAATTCTATCAGTTGATTCTTATAACTTTCATAAAATACATTTTCTTATAAAATACATAAAATATTACCAGTATATTGTTATTAATATAATGATTATTATTTTTTTATTTGTTATAATATTTATTAAAACAATATTTTGTTGTACGCTGGAATCTTTAAAATATTTTAATAGTAATAATAAAAACGAACTTTGATTTAATGAGTATTGATTGAGAATAGTGGGTTCACTAGGAGATATTTACATAGTTACACCGATTTAAAATCCATTATTTATTTTGAAGTGGTTTCATGTAGGCAAATAATGAAGTTAAAAAACATTTTCAAAATAATTTTTATAGCTGTACCTAGTCCTAGTGTACCTTGTTTCTCTATTTGGTCTGTACTCTTATGCTCTATAGAGTATGAACATAATTAATGTATACTATTGAAACGTAAAAAATATTTTTGTAGTCCTGTATAATTTATATCAGTAAATAGTAGTACAATGAAGTACCTATATTAAAATATTTGCAATTATTTATCATTCAAAATTAGCACCATACTCAAATTTTAAGTTTTTTATTATACTTGATATAACTTTATATTATTATAACACACCTTACTTCGGTGTATTTAAAAAAATCCTTTTAATAATATTAATACTTGCAGGTATTTCAGTATTTTGGTAATTACGAGTAAACGGCATTACTAGTACATAGTTGTGTTTATAGTCTAACTACAACGCCGTGTAATCATTAATAATTATGTAACCATAAAAACAAAATTATAATATTAAAATAATTTTAAATAAATTAAATATTATGTATAGGCTATAATATTAAACTTTAATTTTAAATGTAATGTTTGTAGGTTAGCTGCTAATAATATAATTATTTTAGTTCATTATTCGTGATAAAAAAACATACACAACCCACACAAAATATTATTATTTATTATAATATATTTATCCATAAATAATTTTATAGTATTATCTTTCTAGTTTCGTTCTAGCAAGTACGTACAGGCGTACAACCATTCAGGTTCGCTGATGTTGTAATTGGTTTCAGATAGAATAAACACATTTTATTTATGCAAGATATTTTTAAATCAAATTTTTAAATTGAAGTTACACAACTGGTTTAATTATAATGCAAAAATTATAATGGCACCGCTAGACCGTCGAGCGTCGTAGCGTAATATAATAAAAATGGTAAATAAATAATAATAATAAAAAATTGTCTAACCCTTATTGTTACCGATATGCATTTGTTGAATCAAGACGTCAAGTGCAACATGCTTCATCGTAGAAAATAAGGTACCCCGTACCGTATAACATACTTACCTACCTAGTACGTATAACCTTAAATATTTTACACTTGCATTCATTGCTTAAAGATCAAAATAGATATTGTACAAATAAAAAAAAACTTCGGATACCTAACATTTTTACCTTAATTTTTTTTATAAAATATCAACAATTCTACTCTAATATTAATGTCAGGTTACATGAACAATTATTTATTAATTTAGGTAATGGTTCAATACAATGTATTGGATCAATCATGGGCCATGAAATCATGTTTAAGGGACCATTCGCTCACTATTGATTCGTTAAGTATTTACCTAGGTAAAAAAAATTGTTCATGCAAACCGGCTTAAAGCTGTTAGTTATAAATAAAGCTTCTGCAGCCTTAGATCATAATAATATACTATGTGACCTAAGACCGAAGAACAAACTTCTTGTGGTTAACGTAAATTTGGAATTCTGTATAGGTACCTACTTAGATATTGTGTTAGGTACTTGGAACGTTTGTGCGATGTCCTCTTATATTAATGGCAATTCCGCGTTTCCTATAACATGAGTGGCTCGTCATGCACAGCTACTGACTACTTTTACAAAATATGATTGCTCTTTAAGAGGTTTTTTTTTTATACAACTTATTTTTGCTGCTACGCATTCCACATTACGGTGGAATCACTCAACCATACCACAATCCACAGCCCCTACCAATTACCAGCCACCAGGGTTGAATTCTACATAATCCATGGCGTTATCTCATCGTGTTGTGATAGTAATATATTATTGTGATAACGTTTGAAGTTTGAACCGTGATAGTGGCAACGTTTCCGTCAAATTGTCAAAAACTTCGCGGGCCCGAAGACATTAAATTAATGTAATAGGTATTAACTATACGTGGATCCTTAATCGCCGTCCTGTGGATCTGCTCGGTTCGGACCCGGTTTGTGTGTATCGAATCTCGCAAAAATCGGTCACTTCCGAATTTTCGAAGGACCGGCAACACGGTTTCGTCCGACAGACTAGCAGGCACCTTTTTGACACGCGGTTATTTGGACCTTAAGACATGACAGCCCAGTGCACGAAGACGGCATGGCTGTCGTCGAAGCTCAAACAATTCGCGCTGGACGAGGAAATCTATTTGAACTACATCGAAAGCGTGTTGGACGGTGAAGAAGATCGATGCGAAAAGATCAGTGCACTGGAGGCAATTCTCGGAGAAGTGTTGGTAAGCGACTTATTATGATTTTTCCAGGCTATCGACCAATTTTCAGTCTATCACAGTTTTCTGTACCTACTACCCAATTATAAAATATATTATGTGTATGGCAATCTACCAATGTCTTGTGTCTAACTCTAGGTCTGCAGCTGGTACAACCACATCATTATGATAATTATACTGTTATTTTAATTTACTTAATACATATTTTTAACTTTATACCTCCCTAGTCCCAGTGCTAATGTTATAAAATCAATAAAAGTAACAACAGTTTAGTTGGTCTAGTTTTGTGTGACTTGTTTTATGGGGAGTTACTCCGAGTTCCTAATAGGTACCTACTATAGTAGATTTAAATCATCTTTTTGAAATGCCAGTAAGAGAATTCCATAGTACCTACCTATATTTGCAATCTAAATACCATTGTACCTATAGGTAGCTATTAATTATATAAACTGTATAATATGTCATTATAAATATTGTAGACTGCATACTGTATTTTTATATGCAAACCGTATATTTTATTTAGTAGACCGCATATTGGAAGATGGCCGATAAGCATTGTGACTTGAAACGAAACAAAAACCTCATTCTAAATCTGTAAAAACATTTAAATCATACAAAGCTAATGTTATTTTCACTATTTCACAGAGCGAGAATGAAGTGAAATCTCAATGCATGGAAATAATTGACATGTATGACACACAAGATGACAGTGATGCTAACGAAATCAAAACACCCATAGAAGACACCGAAGAGACCTTGGTTAAAATGCTAGAAACAAATATAAGGACTGTTGTGACAGCTCCCAATAAACTAAATTCAAACGAGGAAGATTCTGATTTAGTTAAAATTAGAAAAAATATTTTAAACCAATATGCTCAGGTATGTCATGACTAAGGACTATGTTCTGGTTAGTGAGTGATTGGTGTCTTTTTGCACTTCTTGGAATATTTTGTTAACTGTGGGAAAAATTACTTACGTATATATTTTAATTTTGAGACCTACATTTCCCATATTTTTCCTGCTATGATGCAGTGAATTTGTGTTCTACTTTTATAATTATTATCAATTTTTTTTTATAATTTTTTGTACATTTTTCAAAAATATGTCACAATAAGAATAAAAAATAATATATTAAGAATATATAAGAATAAATTTGTATTTTTATTCCAAGAAAAAATATATAAATATTAAAGCACGTCTTGATCTTATTTTTAAGAGCTTATAAGGAGAGTATGTTTTGTCCGAGAATATTAGCATTGTCTTTCAGGTTATTCTAACCTAAATATCTGAACCTTCTACACAACTATTGTATCAACAATGTATTCAGACCTATTGCATAAATGTGTTAACATTAATTTGTTTGTTTTAGAAAGAAGCAAATTCAGAGGAAGAAGAATGTGATGATTTAGACATAGAACATAATACCAATGTTAGTTCTGTATTAGCTTTAAAAAAAGAACAGAGAGAAAGAGCTAAAGAACAGAGTTTACGTAAAAAAGAAAAAGATAAAGAAGACAGGTAAAATTGTGATTCATATTTCATTAATCATTACGATAAAGATGCGAAATTCTAGTCATGCCTTTTATTATATGAAAATAACATGAGTCTATAAAAGATTTTGAAAGAGTTGATATTTTTATTTTTATGGTTATCATAAAGAAAATATATCTCTATATAAATAATATATTATATACAATATGATATTTATTATTTATGTATGAACAGTGCCATCACTGAATGGCTTCTTCCCTCACATTTTTTTTTATCGTGTTGTTTTCTAACACATATTCATTTTGTGCCCTAGGGCACAGATTATATATTTAATATTTATAAAAAAAAAATGATTATCATCACCACAAACAACTATGTTAATTACAATTGAAATTACACTTTACAGAGAAAAACAAAAACAATTGGTACAAGAAAAGAAAGATGCTAAGAAGAAAAAAGCTCAAAAAGTTGAAAGAAAGCGTTGAATTATTACAATAACATGAATTCTCTGCAGTTTTACAAGACGTGTTTTTTAATCTAATGTATTTAGAATTTAGTTGGCATCCAATGTCAACAACATTTGTTATGTCTACACATTTTGAGTACTGTGTTTGATTACTCATAAGTCATAACAAACAAAGTTGATTTTATACTTTTGTTCAGCAGCTGTTTTTTTTAAAACCATGAACACCCAACTTATAGAGCTTAATATTAATATAATGTTAATAATGAGAGTTAAATGTTGATTGTATTTCGGTGGTAATTATTGTTAAATTGGACTAACATAAAATATGTATTAATAAATAATAACTATTAAAACTAGTTCCTTTTTAATGAATGACATTTTTTATGACTACTTCCTGTGTCCAATTTATTTCCAATTCACATTGATAGGTTGGTTAATATAATATGGAGAACCTTAGAGCAGTGTAGTGTGCTCAGGCCGGACCTAAGAAAAGGAAGTACACTAAGTCTAAGGAGGCAGATGCTGGGCAGTCTAGACACTTTAAAAAACACTCGGGGTAAAAAATAAAATACAATCTGTAACACTGTACGCCCACAAAAGCTCAGGACTCAACTCTTATGCGCTAGCATTTGCTAGAGTATGTAGTCTCTTATGTGTGTCGTAATTTCTGTATTTTTCATTATTTTTAAAAGGATACTGTATGGAGGCAAACCAGGTAAATTCAGTTAACCCCCGTGTAGTAAGGTTCCAAACATGAATAAAAAAAAATGAGGTTCGATATACAATTTGTATACATTATAAATCTGTTTTAACATTGATTGCCTAGGAAAATAATTATCAACCCAATAAGATATTTTATTGCCAACATCCTAATATATTTTAGTTTAATTAAAATTTAAAGGGATTCATTTATACCATTTTTTATTTATAAGTGACCAATCTAATACTTAGTACATGACATGATATATTATCTTATTTTAATAATTACGTTATATATTATATTTTTCAGACCTTAATTTGTAATTGGTATTAGTACATTATTTTTGTATATTTGGTTATTCTACTTACTAGAATACCTTGTATATTGCTTGTTTAGTTAAGTTAATTACATAATTGTCAAGCTTTAATAATGCATACTGAGGGCTCTAATAAAAAAAATGAAAATAAAAATTCTCAGTACATATAAGTCGAGCCGGCCATAATTATGTTTTCAGATTAGTCACTAACCGTTGCTAAAAGATTTAATTTTGGAAGTCAATGATATTTTCTCACACAATAATTAATCCTCATAGTTTACATATTGTGTAATTTGTATGTTAGCTATGATTTAGAACAATTTTAAACCCCTAAAATACAGTTTAAGAGTTAGTGTATTATGAAACTTTGTTTTCCGTACAATCTCATTAGAAAACATTTGATTGAAGTGATCCATAATATTTTCTAATCAATTTCAAAATAAAACAACTCAACTGTCAAAAAATATATTGCAATACATAATAAGTTTAAAATTTTAAATTTCAACATCGATTATTTCATTTACAATTACAGTAATTAACATTTAAGATGAATAACTAAACAATCAGAAACAAATCTACTGAGATTCCAGCAATCCAGACAACTGCAGTATCAATACCAAAAAATAAATTGCAACAATAATCAAAATAATTACTAATTCTAAAAGACAAAAATATATGAATTATACATGAACAATTAAATTTTTACAATACAATTAAAAATTATACAATATGTGTTTCATTTGTGCTACAATGGTGTTTATTAATTTAATTTCAATTAATTAAATACAACTATCAAATAGAAATGACTTTTAGTCATTGAATTAGGCGTTCAATACAATTATCAAGAGTTATAGTAAATATACACTAAGTAAATTAATACTACAATTTCAAATAATATTAAGCAATCAATCAACAATGGAATGTTAAGTGAATATGAAAGGAATACATATCAATGTGCAATTGACTAATAAACAGATGACAAGTCAAGTGTTAAATGGCGAAGTAAATTTGAACGATTCACTCTAGAGGTTTTGATTTCTTGCAGTACCATTGTCTTACAGTCCAGGCAGACAGCCATTTGTGCACTATATTTGGTGCTGAAATATCAAGCATTTACAAAAAATATCAAAATTAGTTTATTCTCGGCAATAATGGGTTTAAGTAAGAGGTCATTACCGAGTGATGTTTTGTGTGACTGTAGACGAACCATGGTAACTTGCAGACATACTGTTATTAGGACAGCCAACTGTTTTTTGAGGACTAGATGGAGCACTGCCCCAACTGCTCTTTGACCACCAAGGATTTTGTTCAGATATTGCTACATTTGGACTGAGTGCTACAACTGGGATTTGGGACAAATGATCGGTTGGCATGCGCATCTATATAATAACAAATATTAATTGTACAGTGAAGTCAAAGATTCTGAATAATTTTATTTTAAATATATTACTTTGGTACAACATTTTGAACACACTGTGCGTTGGCACATTTTGCATTCCTGTCCCCAAGGTCCAAAAATGCCAAATCTGGTTTTCATACATAAGAAGCAAACCTATAACAAAGAAAAAATGTATAAAATCATTTCAAATCTTTCTGAATAAAATAAATATGTACTTTTCGATTTTCAACATCTTCTTTGAAATTTCCTTCAACTGGTAAACTTTCAATTTCTGCTTTAGTAAGCACACTACGAATATGTATGAGCTCTTGCAGAGTCAAGGTCAAACAATCACTCTATAAACAATGTTTATTAAACATATTTATTTGAACAATTTAATATACTTAATTAACTAAAAAAAAACATTTAACTCATTTGAAAATACCAATTTAAAAGTAATACGATAAATAAGTTGAAAAATATAGAATATGAAAATAATTTATCAACATGCATGTTGTTGTAAAATAACTTGTCATCTACAGCCGTTGAGTTAAAACATTAAAGGCATAAAAAGGAGAATGACTTACAGTAGGTAAAGTATTTTTGTACATAGATTGTCTGCGAGATTGCTTCCACAATCCACCCATTGGTTTTATATAAGACAGAGATGATTGATCAGCAATTGTATGTCTTCGTTGCTGTTTTCTTATCGCATGGATATTTTTATTGGATTTTGTGTCTGTAGGTCCATGTTTTTCTTCTCTTCCTACAACCAACCATATCAATATCAAATAATAGTACATTTTAATTATAATATATTATGTTGCAAACAACAAAATATCAAATATTTAATTCAATATTCAATTGCTTAATTAGTTTTGCTTGTTCCTATTTTAAACGTTAGGTAAGTATTATTACATTCAACATTAACTGTTAAGTAAGCGGTTTACATTTAATCAAATTAATTAAAACGTGAATCATAGAAATAATTCATATTGTAAAATTTAATTGTTTGAACACAATAGAATATAATAAAATTCTATAATAGAATTTGTACAACATTTAAAACATTTAGGTTATTATTTATTGTTAATGATATGCAGATATTTTTTCACAATGATAACAATCGTAACATGAATAAAAAAACTAATTTGTTACAATTACATAAATTATTTTTATTTATTTTTAGAGTTATAACAAAGACTTGGTTACTTGTTATTATTCCAAGGATTTTTATATACATTAATAACAATATATTGAGAATGCAAAAGAAGCATTAGTATTAAAGTTAAATGTTATTGTAGCAAGCATAGGAAAAAAATCTTAAGACTTATGATGTATGATCAAGTAGAATTTAACCCAAAATGACAAATTTCAATTAAACTCACCTGAATTTTGTACACATAATTTTATACTATTCTGTTAAGAATATATATAACAGCTGGTCTTTTAAGTTTCAACTTTATGTTAAATTCTACAAAATAAAATTCTGTACCTAAATAAAATATTTACAAAAACATAACAAAAAAAAATCATAAACATAAATTACCAAGAGAGATGAAGCAAAAGTGTTGATTGTGGTGCAGTCTAAATTATGAATGTGGATAGTATTTAATAGAAAAAAAATAATCCTTAATTTCATATATCAATCACCTCATATTTATGTACAAAATATAATACAACAATTATAAATATTTTTTAAGATATGCATGAACAATTATTTAAGATTTAAATTGTAACAATATTTTTTTTCTTATTTGGAATTATAATATTATTTATTATTCAGACTGATTGAAAATTTTTAATTTAAAGAATTAAGTAGTTTAAAATTTCTTATAATGTTGAAAATATGACTGGGTGGTACAGTGAAAACCACAACACAAAATCACAAAGGTTAAATGGTTTTAACATAAACATAAAAATGATGAAATAAAAAAAACAAAAACAAAAAATTTAATTAACATAAAAGAACTAGGAATGTTACAAGAACTTAAGGCAAGATAGATTATTTAAAATATCACACAGGATTGGGTTGGTGACAACGTTTTTAACCGAAAGTGCAAATCACAATTGTTTGGTTGGGAATCACTACCTTGAGTGGACACGCCCAAATATGTGGATTCTTCAGTTTTTTCCACTGTAGAAGTCTTAAATTTGTTATCTTCTTCATCGTCATCAAAATCGTCTTCAGAATCAGAACTCTGAAAATTGAATGTGAAAAACATACACAATCAACAAATTCCAACAAAATAATGTTATTATAATAACATACCACTAAACGTGCTAATGCAGAAAAATCCACTTTTATAAGCTTGCGCTCCTTGTTTGGATCAAGCATACTTTTTATGGATTGGTTTGGCATATATTCGTCTTCTGAATTGTTCATTGATGAATCGTCATAGTGAACTAGTCAGATATAATAATTAAGTGTATTTGCTTAGAATCATTAAATTATTGAACAATTAAAATAAATTACTTTTTGATTTATTGTTACGGTTTGGAGGACTCGACATTGATCTTGATGATTTTATATTACGGAAAGGGCTTTCTAAATAAACATAATTGTTAATTAAAACTTAACACATATAGAACACTACTGAATAATACATGTACTAATAAATAACAGTATGATAAATTATGTTAAAAAATAACAAAAATGTATTGCATTAATTTTAAAATTCAATGAGCTTACTGGTTAATGAAGTAGAACGCAACTTGACGTTTCCACTTTTTATACACTCTAATAGATGTTCTCTCGGTGATAGTTTATCTTGTCGACGAGGAGCTAGTTTTCTTGCTGCAGCCTGAAATAAGCATTTATACTCAAGTAAGTAATATAACAACCAACAACTTAAAATTATTATTCATATAACAAAGTAGATTGAAAAATTGTAAATAAAATAATAAACATTACTTGTAAATAGAAGTATAATGAAGTTGTGTTAGGTTTATCAAAAGGATAAAACATTTTAAACATTGAGCTTATCAAGAGTTTTAATTAAACTAAAATATAAATTGATCAATTATTATTTGTTATATTCTTATGTATTAATATACACTTAAAAGAAACAAAACGTACGTACAATTTTATTTTTTATTTTTCTTCCAATGAAATATTTCACAATATAGTATGCGAAATATTGTAATTATAATATATAATTGATAATTTAGTTAACTTTTTCTTAGAACAATAAATAATTTTAAAACAACCATATTGACATTGATTAATTTTAGGAATGTTATTGTTATAGCTTCCAAATAAAAAGATTGAAAAAATACCTTTAAATATCTGTTAAAAGGTCACCAAACACAGATATAAATACAATAGTGTTGTAAAAATGTACACAAAGCTTTACAAATATAAATTGTACTGATATTGTTGAGTATTGATTTATATACAACATTATGGAAATTAATTTTAAACTATTTTAACAATATTTGATGGAAAAAAATACTTGACACATGTCTAACATGCGATCTACCAAAACTGTAGGCCTGTATAACATATAATAAACAACATAAGCTTCATAATTTCAGGGTGATAGGGTACTATACAATTTAAATCAGTAAATGAAAGCAAATTATTTGCTACACAAATTTAACAAAACATTTAGCATTCATTTTTAGAACATTTTAATGAAATGTATTGTTTGTTACCTACATTTAAATATCTTTTCCAATATTAATACCTCTTCAAGTTTTCTACTACATATTGCAATGTTTTTATTTTTGTACAAATCTTTTATCTGTACATAATATTGATATTATTATTGCCTAACAAATATTGCCTTTTTTCATTAAAAAAAAACACACACACACACTTTACAGTATTGTTTCTTTGTGTATTATATGTCTAAGTAAATGTTCATAAGTTTTGGACACACCTAATTAAAAATTGAAAATGATATAAACACACAAAATCAATTTATCGACAGATCACACATTAAACCAGTGCCAATTACTTCATCATAATGCAATAAAATGTCAAATATGTTGTTGATTACCTATATTATCTTATTTAGTAATCTATAAAAATAATTAAAATTTACTCACGCTTTTTAATGGAGGCCTTGATCTAATAAATTCAAGTATTGCATCATGAGCATCTCTTTGAATTCTGGCAGGAATTTCTGGAGGAGTTACTCTCTTTAAAGTATATCTTCTGGACCTTATGTCATCCATTAACATTTCATAGGGGGTTAATGCATATTCAACAAATTCATCTCCAGTACGAGATCTTTGATCAACTTTTTTTAATTGCACACCACGTCGTAATTCCCGTATTAATTGTATCCATAAACGTGCCTACAAATTTTTTTTATAAATATTACTTTGATTCGTAAACATACAAAATACCTACATATTATGTATGGTAAAAACTGTGATAAAACAATTTATTTTTATATTATTATTTAATTTACAAAATATGTTAAAAAAACTATTGAAATTTGTATCATAATATAAAAGTATAATATTTCAACTAAGTTCAAATGTAATAAACTACAACATTTCTCATAAAAATATTTGAACCTGTATAACTTATAAATCAAAGTTATTATTTTGAGCTATAATAAAATGTAATTTGTTGTACTATAATCTAAACATACTTGTAAAATACTCCACTTTCTGCGGTTGGGCTAACAAAAAGTAACACAACAACTGTGTTAGTTTTGATGCCATAATAAATATAAATAATACAAACTTATAAATTCACTTCCTAAAGCCATAATACAGTAGATATAATTGACAATTAAACTTAATTATGTGAACACATATATTAAGGATCAACGCTCTATTATTTAACATAAGCTAATAAAATTATAGTTTTAGGATGACCATTAGTTGATTTATAAAAATCTACAATAATGAATATTCATTAAACACTTGAGAGCTTACCCAATCACTGTAATCCAATGTACTTAATTCAGCTGAAGTAGAATTTCTGTGTCTTAAACTGACAGTTCCATCAGATAATTTATCTAAAAATGACGAAAGCTCTAAAGCCTCTGCCACTAATGCTCTGCATACTGCTTTATAATGAGTTTCAGAACCCAATCCTGACACACCTATATGTCTACTGCATTCCTAAAATAACAATTCAACATTATCAAAAATGTATGCATAAAAGTAAGAAATATTAACAATAGAGGTGCTTGAGATATACTTTTATAGAGCTGGTCTGAGATTGGAAAATATTAAAATCCAAGAGCATGGGTTTGGGATAAAGAATTGTTTGTACATCTTTAACAAATTAATGAATAAATATAAAAAAAGATTTTTAAGGAAGAAATTTAAGTGTAACAATATTTATCCAAAATTGATTATTCAAAAAGTAATATGTATGATATAATAGCTACACATATAGAACTGCATCAACTCAGACAAATCAGCTAATAACTACTACATATATAAATATATAATAATTTGTCTTGAAAACCTTGAATCATAAGTAATTAATATTAACTGTTTACTATTTTTATAATTATTAAGTACCTATGTAAAGTAAATTCTTTATGAAGCAATAATAATAACAAAACAGATTTCCTAAAATTATATTTATTTTTAATCCTAAAGACCCGCAAAATCAGGAAATTATTATTTTCAAGTCTCAAAATCCTGAGCAACTTTGATGAAAATATAATGATAATTTTAATAATAATAATATAATAATATTTACCTCTAACACATCATCAAAAGTAGCAAAATTATTTCGTGATATTTCTTCACATTCGGCAGAATCTCTTTCAATTCCTTCATCATCAGTTTCTCCTGATTGACCATGGTCCATAGATTGAGCATGCAAACCATATTCAACTTAAAATTAAAGTACATAATAATTAAAATCAAATTAAGATAGGGAGCCTATAAAAATGTATCAGTAGTTCAAAAAAAATATAAGTAAAACATGGAATTGGGTAATGTTAAATGAGTCAATCGACATGAGAAGTTGAAAAATATTTCTAAATAAAATATTGATGGATAATATTCATTTAAATAAGACCTGTAGGGTGTGTCACTGTGTCAACTGACTTCTTCAAGTGACAATACTTTTTGGATTCTGAATAAAGTGATGAATGTATTGTTTTTTTTTTGTGTCAAAAGATACTTTTTGTAGCAGAAAAATTTGATTTTAAACTTTAAGGTTTCTGGTAACAAATTGAATTTAGTTAATATTTTGGAGAGTCAAAAGTAAAAAATGTCCAGAACCTGTAAATCAAGCCAGAAAAGCATAGGTACATTTTTACATAACACCTCAAAAATAAATAACATTACTGTAGACTTAACATTTTTACCGAATATTCATAATAACATTTACTAGACATTTATTTATTTAATTGATTAACAGACATAATATGTCCAATAGTCAATATAATTGTTAGATACCTGACAACAGTAATAATATTTGATCCAATTTAAAATTTATCAAATTAACACATTAAAAAAATTGAAATTAATAATTATTCAGCAAGGTTATATTATGAAATAATTTTTAAAATACTTGGACACTAATTGTGCTATATATAGGCATTTAAAGTTCCTCTGACCATTTTTAAAAAAAAATTGAAACTTAGAAATTTACAATATCAGAAATTACAATTTATATACATATATTATTCATAAGTCTAAATTAAAAAAATAATTGTTTCCGTGTTTCTTAAAAAACCAATAGAAAATGGATAGTCAATTTCAATAGTTAATTTATGTCAATATTTTCAAAGCGGGATTATTAATTGCAATCAAATATTCAAATAGTTATATATATTTTTAAGTCTTGGCCACAATCAGACTGAGTATACCTAGTAAGGAATCAGGTCTATAAGATAATAAACAACGCATAAAATACTCTATATTGGAAAAGTTGCTAATACTATCTCAATATAATATATGGTGCATACAATTTAAATATTAAATTTATCAGAGAAGATAATATTTCATAAAAGGTTTATTTCCAACAATATTTAAAAGTATTATTATTAGCACAGAGGCAATAAATATCATAGTTTAATTAATTTACATTTACAAAAGTACTTAACGACTCAACTTCAACAATTGTTCAAGTACTCAAATCAACTTAAGTTTTTAATACTCAAAAAGTCAAGTACTCAAAAAAATAAGAATTAATTTTATTTAAAAAAAATTGCATTTGTAAAACGCCATTGTGTTTATAGAATAAAGTAATCCACATTACACACTTTAAAAATATTAAGTATCTACCCACGAATAATAATTTTTAATTACAACAAAATAACTAACATCATTCTTTTAGGTTAAGATATCAAATTTTGTCCTAATTTTAACTTCAAATATCTGTGAAAAAACTGTGTATATATAATATATATTTTTAAATATTTTGGTTCTGGAACTTCTAAAGATACCTCATAACTTAACCTATTGAATTTTCAAGCATTTTGATCCAATAAAATTTTTTTTATCAATATTTAGGTATACAAAGAAAAAACTTAACAATTTTAATTCAAAAATATTTATAAATAAATCAAAACAAGTCAAAATATTTTTAAAATATCATCATGTATGTAGAATTGTTTCATTAACTAACATTTGGTGAAAATTTAAAGTAACTAAGGTTATTACATTTTGACATATAACAAAATAAGTAAATCGATTTTGTAAAAACTTGTTATATGTAAAGATCATCGATTATTCTTATTTTAGATTCTCAGCAGAGCGATGAATGTATTGATTTTACAATACTGTGTTATTTTTCTAATTTTTTATTTGTGTCTGGGTACATGTTTAGTAGTTGAAAAAATGATTCAATTTTAAACTTTAATATATTTTCTGGTGGTAAAATGAATCTAATTGGTGCTTTTGGGAGGCCAAAGTTCAAAATTCATTGCAATTTTCAAGTGGCAGGAAAAACAAACAAAATTTTTTTTTAGAAAATGGGAATTTTTGCACTTATTAGTTTTGATTTTAGGTATAACTCTAAAACAAATAACCATAGATACGTGAAATTTCACTGAATGTATATATTAGCATTTTATATACACCATAACATTTTCAAAATATTTAGACATATGTTGAACTATTAATGGGCAAATGAAATTGCCGATTATTATTAGTATTTTCTAAATTAATATTGCTTAAAATTTTTTTGCTCAGTCAAAAAACTTAAAAATGTGGTACAAGGTTCCTCATAAGTTGTTGTTAGTGGAAATAAAGAAAAAAGTTGAGCTTAAAACCAAAATAATTTTTTATGAGCGTTTGAAATTCAAATTTTTACAACTCAATTTGCATTGAACAATTATCTTATTTTACTGTAATTCAATAGATATGTATAGATATTTGAAATTCACATAAAATGTTTATTTTATTATTTCCTATAGTTTAAAAAATGTTTCAAATATTTTGACTCGTTTTGAGCTGTTTATGGACATTTTCAACTTTCAATAATTTTAGTTTTTTTTTTCTATAAATGCCAATAAAACTTTGTTCGTTGGGTCAAACAGATTAAAAATTGAATACAAGGGTCCAAATATATTGTTACAATAGAACTTTAAAAAATTAAAATTACGAATGCATGATTTTTTTTAATAATCATTTAAAATTCAATTTTTGACAATATTTATTAAATTCAAAATTTACAAATTCTCTTGTAATTTTTAAAAAGTTTTAAGTTGCGGATTAAAAATTTAAAAAGGTTTTATGTAGGTAATTAATTCTGTGGAAAAAATTGTAGATGTAATTACATATTTAAACAAAGAATAACGATTTTTGGTATTTTGTTGTCATTTTAAAAATATTCATGGATACTAGATTTTTAAAAGTATATTATTATACTTCATACAGGCAATGACTTTTCAAATGTAATTTTTTGACAAAAATGAATTTAACCTACTGTAGTACTAATGCTTAATAGCAAAATAAATGACTTCAATCACAAAATAAATCATCAAATATACTAAGTAATATTATAGGCTGACAGACTATATTCGGTCAGAATCATTTTTTATGTACAGTGATTTTACATCATTGAATTCAAATTTAACATCATCCATTACAGTGACCCACATGTAACCTACTGTAAAGCAGAGCAACATGCACTTACCCACTTTTTTTAAATTAGTTTTTCTCGGTGGTTTTGAAAACTACTAAGAATTTTTTACTTTTATTCCACCCCCCCAAATTACAACTAGATTTATTTCTCTAGCAAAAAAAAACATTTTTAATACCCCAAAAAGTGGTGATAGACACACACAAAAGAAAAAAAAAGCATTGTAAAATCAAAAAATTGTTTGTTCATAATCTAAAATTACAAATATTATGTTTCCAATAAGAATACTGAATAAAGGTAAAATTGTTTAGTACTCAGAAAACGTTCTAGAACTCAACTTTTGGATTAGACTCAAACAACAAGAATTAATCAATCCATCAAACATTATTCTATAAACATATAGGGAAAATTGAATTTGTCATAATAGAGAACCTCAGTAAATAAATATATTATATGAACTGTAATTTAATTAAATCACACACAAAAAAAATAATTATTAATAGATAGTTTTATGTAAACTATAAAATATAGATAAATATATGTTTTAAAGGAAAAGAAAAATAATCATCTTTGTAATGGACTACTTTTTGTGGAAAGTAGTGGCAATTGTAACATACTTCTTTAAAGCAGTCAGTACTCAGTTCTAACAACTGCTAGAATAAGTAGAAATGGATAATAGTGAATGGAAAGTTTGTACATTTGAAATGCCATGATTACATTCATCAGATCATTAACAATAAAAATTACCTTATTCATCATAGAAACTATTATTATAAGTAATGTAAAATTTTTTTTGAGTATACATTTAATTATTTTTTTTAGTCACTCAGAATAATTGTTATTGATTATTTGGGAAAAAAATGATATGCATCACCTTATTGATAGACCATCAAAGTTTGTAGCTTACTTGAATATATTTTAGAATTTTGAAGATTAATATTTAAACATCTAAAATATAAAAATGATGATACAACAACAGCATGAAAATATTTCAAGTACTACACTATTTAAAAAAAAATTATTGAACAAACACTAATTATCTAAATACCTTCAATTAAAATAAATTAATTATGAGAAGATTACCTACATAAGTTTAAAGTGTCAAATAATTATTATTATACTTAAATGACATAACATAAATTAATTAATCTGTTTTTAATAAAAATCAACATTGGCTTAAGAAATAAAAATAAAAAATCTTATAAAAATTATTTTGTAATTAACAACTCACTAGATTTATAGTTATATACTTATATAACAATAATAAAATAATGACCTTCACAATATTTGTTTTAGTATTTTTAGAAGTGATATCATTTCCAAATGTTATTAAACAAAAGTCTCAAAATATTAATTTATTTTGCATACATAAATTGTTTTGTCTTTGTCATATTATTACAAACTCAAATGTCATGTTTTGTCGTAGAATCAGGGTTAAGCATTTTTTTTCTTATTTAATATGCACTACACAATTTTTGTTTGTTTGTAAGAAAAGCTTGAACATATTTATACAAGGTTTATGATAAATATTATTCTTAAAAAACTAAAAAATCTAAAAAATACTTAAACACAACTTTTTTTTAAGTGTTCAAAGACTTTATATTTTTAGAATTTAAGCTTAAAATTCTACTACTAGGTACCATAAAAGTAGTTCTAATAGAAATCTAAAAACTTCAAAAATACAAATGCATAATTTTTTTTTATACAAGCATTTTAAATTTAAATTTTAACAGAACATTATTTAAATATTTTGTTGTAATTCAAAAAAGATTATTTTTAGGGACTTGTAACTTTTCGCCACTACGTATATTATTATGTAAATTACAACACAATGTAATTTTCAAAGTATAAAGAGGATGCTGTCCACGTGTTTGTTGTTTCCATCTTACCAACTAACGACATAGCAAATTTTCGTTTACTTGTGTGAATAGTGTGCCGTTTAGTTTTGTTATTAGAGTGAATTAGGTATTATCAAGCTTTTAGGTAAAAATATTATCAATGCTTAAGCGTCGGCGGATGTTAGATATTTTCATTTTCAAGCAAAATAAGAGTATGTGAAATAACAGAAATCAAAAATACTCATATCTCGCTTGAAAATTAAAATATCCAAAAACCCAACAAAGCTTAAGCATAGATAATGTTCTTACCCCGGTTCTTACCTAAAACTTTGATGATAGGTCAATTTACTCTAATATCAAAACTAACTGCACACTATTGAAACTAGTGAACAAAAATGTTCTGTGTCATACGCGTGTAAGACGGAGACAGCAAATGCATGGGTAGCGTCCTCTTAAGATTAATTTTAGGTCTACAGTATGTCAGTAATGACTTAGAATAAATATGAAATTATATGAAAAATTTACCATATGATTTGTTTTTTCCAAAAATTAGTTAAGCCACCATCTCACTAACAACAATATAAATGTATAACATAATATTCTTAAAAACAGAGCAGACTCAAAAATGTTGTTTGTATACAATGATTTATCACCACATTCAAATTGAACACATCCATCATACTGACCTACTCGATGGCGGGATATACTAGATACCTACTCCACAATAGTACTAGTTCCATGATTTTTTTTAGACTGATAAATGTTATGATAAATTAGTTATGTATCAAAACTATAATAGCATTCATACCTACCAATTAAACTTTAATGATTCTACTTATTTATTGTTAACTATTAAAATGTATGGTATTAGTTCATATTACTATTTACTTACATGAAGCTATCATTCGTTTAATTAATGATTCCAACTCTGGATTTAATGACCTTTCTTCATCTTCATCGATTCCAAAATCTAGGACTTGAAAAACAATGTATCCTAGACTGGCAATCACCTATATAAATTAGTATTATAAAAGTTATAAATTATTTTTTTTAATGTTTTAGTTTATAAATTTGTATATTTTAAATAAATTGATCTTGTTTATAAATATAGATACAGAAAATAATTTTTAGCAAATTAAAAAACATTTGATTGTGTTTTGTACATTTTTAATAATATAACTAGATGTATTACCTGGCTTTAACTATACAAATTATTTTAAACAAAATGTATTTAAAGAGTAAAAAACTTAAAATATAGACGAATATAGATAATTAGTATGAAATTATGAGATTAGAAACGTCCTACTATTTAAAGCACAAATTCATAAAATATAAAAGGGGACTTTTTAATGTTAAATGATAGGCATATTATCCAAGATGAGTACCAATAAAATTGACAATTTATTTTAATTTAAAAATAGAAAGTATATTAAAAGCATAAGGAAATGTGTTCTAAAACAAAATAAAAACTATTAAAAAACTACAAATACTAGTTGATTTAAAAAAAAAAGAAATTATTTTAATTATAGCCTACTCATTCTTATGCGTTAAGAATTATGTTAATTTGTATAACAATACAGTTCCCAGAATACCAGAATGAAAATGTAGATATTTATAAATTAATAACCAACAAAACATTTTTGTGATAATACATTTTTTAATGATACCTATCAAATTTAATAAACAATGTAGATATTATACAGAGTATTGTAAAATTAAATATGTTAAAATAATATTTAACCAAATTATAACTAGGTAAATATTTATTAGACTAATATGTACAAATTAAATACAGATTTTTCTAAAATCGACTTGATTGTTTGATATTTGTAGCTAGTAAATAAAATAAACACACTCATTAATTATTATCCAAAAGAAACTCGCAAATTTTTTTATTGAAACCAACTAGTATAATTTTTAGAAATGTTTATTAGATAGGTAACAACTATTAGTAAAAAATGATAGTCAACAATTTTTCATGCTAAATAGTCAATTAATTTAAATCTATAATTACTCTAATCCATAAATAATTATAAGTTTGCTCATGCTACATAATAACATATTAAAAATAAGTACTTAATACTTACATGATGTTGAAGGATAGTTTTACTATCATTTTCATTACTTAGTTTCTCAATATTTTCACGAGATTCAGCTAAAACAAACATAAAAATGTATATTGACATTATTTTTTGTTCTAAATTATACAAAAGCATTAGGTATTTAATTTTTGTAACAGTGTTTAATATCTGTATTACAAAATTATATACCTAATTTTTTTTGGGACGCATTAAAATATGTATAATTATATAGTAAAAAATATTCAACCCATTAAAAAAGAGCCCCCTCTTTGCTCCTGGATAATACGCTATAGCAGGTCATAAATCAACTATGAGGATCTACAAAGACTATTTTTGTATGTATGTATTTAAAATTTTATTCTTAAGACAATAGTTTTCCCACAGACACTCTGAAATTAGGACATCTTAAGCAGTAATGATATTAAGTGGTACACGGGTTAGAATAATAATATAGAATTATTTAAGACTTATAAATATAATAGGTTTATTTGTTAGGAAAACGTGAATACTCAATAAAATTGAAATACTTGTATTATCCTTGGAAATAGCTTATGGGGAATCAATACATAGGGGGCCAGATTATAATTACGAGGAGGTAGGTATGTCTAATTTTACTCTTTTTAGGTACTCATATTACAATTACAATAAAACGTATATTAACTTCAGAACAAGGTAGCCAAGTTGGTATCTACCAATAGAATAATGAAGAACCAATAAATATTTTTATAACAAATGGGAAGGTATATTTAACTTAAATATATTACCTCCATTATTAATTATAATAACTTAATGACTAAAATAAAATATATTACTTGTAGAATAGCCTAACTTTGAAAATGAAGACATTTAAATTTAATTATCAAAAATAAATGATTCAGGAACCTAACACAGCATAGGAATCAAATTTTTAAATGTGAAAAAAGTAAATAATATAGGCATAGGTACTAAGATGCAATCAAATATTGTACTATTAACTTTAACAATAATATAATGTTATATAATAATAAATAATACTTCATACTACAGACAGGGCTATAAACACAAAATGCCTACCTAAATAAAATGAAGTACCTACCTTCCTAATTTAATTTTCCTGTCAACATAAAATATATTGTATTATCCAGATAAATAGTAAATAATAATACAAATTAAGGTTAAATCTAGTTTCAAGATTAAACCTCAACATATACTATCCTTACAGCAGGCACAGTGCTAGGATTTTTTCCAGAGGTCGCTTAGTGGAACAAATACTTTTTGTGCATGGGTTAGGATTTCTTCAAAAATTCCAGTGATTACTGATTAGGTACTCGTATAAATAATTAAATAATAAAAAAATTAAAAAAAAAAAAAATTAAATTAATTTATATTTACATACCACAGCTTTATTGTGTTACATAATATATATAACATTATTTAACTTTCATATAACACTCAGTAATTTATACATTCTAAGTTTTAAATCAGGGGTTCCCAACCTTCGGTCGCAGAAGCATTTATAGATGGTCGCGATAGTGCATAAGCCATAAATCACATGTTATTTAGGATTTTCCTCAAAATATTCTTTTTGAATACTAAAAAAAATATTTTCCTAAATTGATTCTATAACAAAATAGATCGAGGAAGAAAATTGTGTATGAATAATCATTATAGGTACCTATTTGTAATTTCTCACTTTATTATTTTACACTAAAATTGAATGTTAATAAAATATGAAAATTATGTTTGCAATATTATTGTGATTTTTTTAAGGGCTCCAAATCTTTGAATTTAAAATGCTATGGTCACTCTGATATATGGTTGGGAACTATAGTTCTAAATAGATAAAATGTATGAACTTTTAAATGATTAGCAATGTTTTATTAATATTTAATACTACATATATAGCTATGTTTATTTTTGAATGTAAATAAGGGAATATTTTAACACACACTTTAAACAACTAGGTACATTAAGTCATTAACAATGGTCAATGATGTAGGTACAAATCTGACTTTTATAACATACCTACACCCCCGCCTACACTTTTATGACAGAATGGAGTTAGTTATGCCATGTTTAGCTTTTTTTTAATAAATAAAAATGAATATGATTGAATTTAATAATGAGCAGATGAATTTGATTGACAAAAAGGCAATAATTTGGGGTAACTATCTATTTTCATTCAATAATTACATGTACGTAATAAGAAAATCAAGTGAAATAAATGTACCAGTCCTATACTCCGCGCCACGAGAGAAGGAACCCGTGTCCCGACCAAATTGCAACAGACTCCGCGCATCCCCACTTATTTGACATATCGTCGTCTAGTTACCTAGCCTAGTAACGCTAGCTGCCGTCAGTCTGCATGCGCGAAACGGGTTCCTTCTCTCATAGCGCGGAGTATAGTACCTACATATGACAATTTTTTTTTTTGTTAAGGCTTAACCTTAGAAGACTGCAGCCAACCAATGTGCCACATCAAGTCCCCAACCTATGACAATTATCCTGACTTTCATTACTTTTTTTTCAAGCTATTTTTATATAGGTTAGATCAAGGTAGATAACAACCAAGTAATTAATAACAATAATAATAAAAAATGTAATTAAAATTAACATTCTAGATTGAATGATCATAAACATTAAACAGGGTCATAAACCATAATATAGAAAATATTATAGAACATTTTTGACAGTATATAAGTATTGAAAAGATAAATATTGACTTTTATTTAATATAAGTGTTCAATGTTAACATGTCTAGTCTTCAAAGAGTTCACCATCCAATACACATATGCAAAGCCACCAGGTGTGCAGGGTATGCATCTGCCTAAAGGGCGGCTTTAATTTGAGTTGAGCAAAAACTTAGAAGCCCATGATTTTTTACTAGATTATTACTGTATTTTTAAAAGAATATTTGTAGGTTGAAAAAATTTTAATGCAGATAGGATACATGATACGTCTATAATATACCTAATGTTAAGGTACATGTATTACTCGTGGTAAGAGGGGTATCCCATAAGTACCTATAATATAGGTCTTTACTCAGGTCTTCATCAATGTTTAATAAATACATAAAACTTAGGTTTAAAACCAATTAGATCTAGATACTAATTATAAGTATAAATACCTATTAGGTAATTAGTATCTTTTAAATGTTTTTACTATTCATTCATATACATAAATTGCAAAATATATGTTATGTACATTGTACCTACACCTACCTACGTAATTATTTAGATTTATTGTTACAAGAATAAAAGCTAATAATAAATAAATCAATGTCAATTGTTATGTACCTACGTAAAATACATACCAAACTAATATTACTTTTAAAATGTATTCTGAAACAAAATTAACAATGTTTACATTTTACAGTATGGTTTTTTTCTAGACTTAATAAAAATGTAGAGCACTTGTATAAATAGACAAATATATATTCAGGCAAAATAAAAATTTTTCCTATGTTTATTATCATTAATCGATAACTAGGTAGGTACTCCAACTACTTACACTCTTTGAGTCAACTCTAAAATGATATCACTACCACTAAATAAACTTAGTAAAAAAACAGTTTTAATAACTAATGCAATTTATAATTATATCAAATGCTTTATAGTTATTAAATAAGTATAAACCTTGGTACCCACCTATAAACATAAATTTTTTTACAGGTATTACATGTACCTGATAGGTGACTTACCAGTAACTGTCCACTATAATAAACTTATAGGCAATAAGTAATAACTATTTTCTATGGGTATATTCTGTATTTCCTTGAACAACAATGTTTAAATAAATATGTTATAATATTCAATAAATTAAAGTGACGATAAAGATTATGGAAGAGCTTCCACACTGTAAAAATAGTTCCACTATCGTTGTTTAGTCTACGATTCACGCATAAAAAAAATACATAGTACCTAACTAGTAAATCAGTAACAATACCTATGTATAATTAGTTAGTAAGTCTCCGTGTAAACCAAGATGTAAACCTACATAAATCAGAAATCAACCTATTGACACAAAAAAATTGAGTAAAACTCCAGGTAAGACTTAAGTAAAACTAGGTAGGTACGGTGATCTGTAGTCACACTAATTAGAATTTGTAGTTCTTAGAAATTAGTGTGGACTACCTACCTACTTAGGTAAATAAAATGTTCACCCCACAACATTAATATCTAAGTTTATTTCCATTTAAAAATAAATATAAATAAATGATTCACAAGCCATACCTATTTCTTCAGTGTTCAAGATGGTACTGGGGTGTATGAATCCATCCTTATGGATACGGACTTCTTCTAGATTCTTGACCACTCGACACCTGTTTGGTTCACGTTCAAAAGCATTCTTGAAACACTTGGCACACTGATAGCACAAAGCCCATGCATGCTCTTCGCTTACAGGTGTATTGAATGACTTGATTATGTTCACGAGCGAAACACAATCATTATCGTCCAACTTGCAGAGGTACGGCTTGAAATTATTTGGCACGTCCATGTTTGTTATTCACATGGGACTGGTGTAGTCACAGGTCGACAAACCACACTTCAGTAGCAGACAAAGAACACTGACATCGGATGAGAGCGTCACAGACATCAAGGGACCCGAAGAGCAGTGAAATGCAATAAAAGATGTCACCAAGTGCAAGGACCTACCCCAAAAACAATAGTGATGTTTTTGAGGCCAGTACGGACACAGATTTTGAAATCAAAAACGAGAGGAAAATAAAAATTCAAACGTTTCGCAGAACGAGGGTTAACGAAAGTCGACGGGATCGCGACTCGCGAGATCACGTAATGACTTTAGGTAGTAGGTTATAGGTAAGTAAGTCACAAACAATAATGCCACTTACGGGGTATATTTCTTTCGGCAACGAGAATTTCCCGACCGACGACGTTGACGGTTATTTACTAATTAATAGTGGTAGTTGTGTCTAGCGTTTGGACGTCGGAAAATCGCACTTTCCCACGTTCGCACACGATAAAAGTTTAAATGACGATAAAATTTTAAAAATCAAGAAAAATAAGCGAACGAAAAGAACGAACAGACGAACCTACGGCGATGGTTGCAGCGGTGGTAACTGGTAGACGGTAGTGTTGTCGGTGGCGGCGGTCGCGGTCAGTGTTTACTCTGGACTCTGGTGGAATTTTGTATTGTTATTAGAAAGGTTATTACGGTTTTGTGTGTTAACGAACGGGCGCGTGCCACTTGCACCGCCCACGACACCGACACTAGTCCGACGCCGAGTCAAAATATTCAAAATAAAATATTGTTTGCCGGTAAGTCATCAATATTATATTATTATAATGGGTATTATTGATATTATTGAGCAATTCAATAATTTATTCAACATTTCATTTAGTTATAGCAAAAACAAGATATGCGAAACATATTGATTTTATAATCAGGTAACTTCTAGAATAAAATTAACGGAGTTATTTGTGACTATTTTAAAAATATTTATGCTAAAATAATATTCTATGCAAAATATCTACGATCAAAATAATATTTTGCTGCCCGGACCTCTGGGGATTTGGATTATTCGTCGTATTTAAAAAATCTAAAGCCATATGGCTTTCATAAATTTATCTCGCCTACTTTCAATTACTTAAAATCCTTACAATAATTAATAATTAATTGATTGACTATTATGGTTATATTGAAAAATGTTGTATAGGTACCTCGTACCTACGGTAGTTAACCTTGTATTATAAATTTATAAAAGTAATATCTAAGTCTTTAAAATAAAATAAATATTATTTTTGTTTTACTCGATAAAATATATTATTAACAAATGTTGTGTAATATATTTTTCATAATATAGTATACCTAATATATTAAAATTCATAATTATAAATGTTTAATTAAAAACATATTATTTTGTTTATAGATTTATCATGTTTTTAAATAATTATATTGATATAGATTTTTAACATACACTAATTTAAGATTTCCTTAGTGTTAATCTTTACATTTTATACAAAAATTTTAAATTTTAAGAATTTATTGAATCTAATATAGTGGCCGTATGTTATCGTTATGCACTTATGTATATAGGACGTAGGTAGGTATACTTATTGTAGGTATAAATAAATTAGCATCAAAGCGAATAATTTATTGTTCAACAGTCGAACTAAAGGACATAATATATACCTACTTTTACCTTTATTTCACCCAAAAATAGTTGACACATTTTAAACGGCTGATCATATAACTACACGCTACAAATTATATTTATACAGTACCTATAATGTATTATTATAGCTAAACAATTCTTAATTTCCAATCAAACAATAATTGGTATATAGAACATCAGAACATAGATCTAGATAGCCAGCTGCAGGTTCCGTGGGTTATGACCTTATGACAAATGGGCCTACAAGGACTTACAACAATGTTATTCCTAATTCCTTATGCAAGTACTAGAACAATATTTATTTCAATTAATATAAAAAAACCTAGGTGTAAAAAAACAAAATTGAAGTAAAATTAATTGGTAGGTCAGTCATACGAGCCACGAGGTAAATACTACCCAATATACCTGTAATAAATTAAGTAGGTAATTATTTAGTTTAGCAGAACAATGTTAAACGTGCAATTTTGTATTTTCTCGCTGCCACGTAATAAATTATGGTTTCGTAACTTAAATAATTATAAGTTATTTTAATGGCGGATAGGGATTATTGATTACCGCTTGGTGTTCTGAAAAATAGGGGAATATTTTGATGATGTTTTTAATTTTAATTATTATTGAGTTGCTCTTTCATATAATATTATTATACCTACTAGTATTATGATAAAATATGTATAATGTACAAAAACACAGTAATAAAAGAAAGTAACAAAATATAGGTAACTTATAACTTATAAGTAATAACATAGTATATTTTGGCTAAAAACACTATTAATTATTATATATACTTAAGGCTTAAGTATACGATTTGAATGTGTTTGTGTAAAAACTCGTTAAGAAATGGTCAGAACTAATGCCTCCTTCCCTATTAGGGGAATATGAGAGCTCCCATGTTAAGGCCCTCCCCAAATATTGAATTAGATTCCCCAAATTTTTTTCGTGGCTTATGTAATATTTTTTTTATGATTATTAATAGTTAATAGTTTGTACATAATAGTTATACAACGTGTGATATAATATAGGTAATTTACTATAATCAGACGTAACCTATAAAAACATGGATGAGAACTTCAATGATTCAAAATCGTATCAATTTAAAATTATCATTTATCTACCGTCAATATTTAAAAACAGTTAGGTACTGAACAGTAATGATCACGAATACATTATTGAAAAACTAATAAATAACTGAACAATTCAATAATTTCAAATCCCTATAAATAGCTTATAATGATTTAAATATTATAAAAATTGCATTTTAAGTAGGTACTAGTCAGGTACAGATGTCTGATGTATAATATTATTAAGACGCAAAATATTTATTATATGATATAGTATAGGTAATACACCTATTTCTATAAGTTGGTATTAGGAACGTAATAATTCGAAATGTCAACGAACTGAAACAAAATATTTAAATATTTAAGTAAGTATTATTTATTTATTTATATTCTAAATGCTAAGTAATATATTTTTTTTTTATTTAAAAAAAAGTATATTTACTATATTTACAATCTGTAATATTATTAAATTATACTACTAAAATTATAAATTTTTTATACCAAACCATAGAAAATTTGGTAGCTTAAAATATATAGAACAACTTACAAAAAACTTGAGCAGGGAAGCCCACCAGTGGGGAGTGCAATATTTGCAAACATGTTAGACGTTAGTATATACTATATACATATTAATATATTATGTATAGTCAGGATTGATTATTGCATCTTTAATTTGAATGAGTATTAATTTAAATTACAAACATCTGTTAGTTCTGTTACCTAGTACAATATTTTATTGGATTCAGAATTTCAGATAGATTCCGACCTGTATAAGCACCTAACGCGAAGTAATGGTTTCTCGCGGATGAATTTCATTTAAACGAAAATTACAAATCTGTAAGCAATACAATATATTATTGCAAATATATAATAATATTATACAATTTCTAAAATGGCCATACCATTAATTAATCTCCATACATTATACATATTATATTATATACGTCATATATAAGTAAGTAATAAATTAAACGACACCATATACGTCCATTCGGGTATACTTATCTATACCTATTTATTATCGTATATTAATTAATAATATAATATTACAATAATTTTACATACAAGTCTCCGTATACCAGTAAATAGCATTAATAGCATTAGAATAATATTTAAGGCTGTCCGGAAAACGTTCCGTTTCGAGGGCCGCTCATAATGAACGCGTGCTCGGTGCAAGCGTAATATTATGTAACGCGCTGGTGAGTTTATTATTATGCTCGATTCATAATAACGTGTAACGACAAAATTGTGCGATAATATTATGCGGTTATGCAAATATCGAATATCTACCTACGCTCGTTGCCGGCGCACATACCGCGCAGCAATATTATGAGCGTAGAGCGTTGTCGTTATATAGCCGTCACTAGTCGTCACCTACTTGTTAGTCGTTGTGTGGGTGGTGGGGTGGTAGCATAAAATAGGTGCGACCGACCGCGAGTTGCAGCAGGTATGACGTAAACACGTAACAGCGGAATGTCGATCGCGGCGTGGAAGAGAACGACGCGGCGGCGACGACGGTTGGACAAAAATAATTATTCGACATTTCGACGGTGCGCTTACACAATATAAACACATAAATAGGTACATTATTTAATAATATTAACTAAATAAAAAATTAAGTGTAGATATGCACGAACGATTGCGAAAATTGCATATTTCCGATCCCAATGAATGGGTACGAATAAAATGTATAGCTCTACAAAACGTATTTATTTAATGATGAAGAAATCAGTCTCACAATACAACCACGCTAAAACCGTTTGACAATTTTTGTGAATCCTTATTAATCAATAATCTTATCTTAAACATATACTTATAAACTGTAACATTGTAACAACTAACAATGGAGGTAACAACGGTATTCTTATTGTATGCTGACGGCATTTAGTATACGCCAACAAATATTATGACAACAACACAAGAATTCAAGAACATTATATATTTTCTTATAGCTTCAGTTTCATGATAGGTAATCAAACTGGTTTTAAATATTGAGCTGAACTGGTGGGTTTGCAATTATGAATTATAATATGTTGTTTTTTTTTTTGTGCCTGCAACACGTGTAACAACTATAACGAGTGAGCGACTTCATTTTCAAAGCAATTAAACCTTAATTTAAATCTTCCACATTGAGGGTTACTTCAGGTGAAAAATTGTATCTAGTTTGTACTTCAGAGTTTGGATGGTTAAAAGTAAAAATTCCCAATAGTTTCAAAAGCCTCAGGGAAAATAAACAAAAAATTGAGGAAAACTGAGATTTCGTTTTTTAGCGTAACTCTATAAAATAACCGAAGACACATGAAATTTTCACTGAATGCCTATGATAATATTTTATATTTACAATTTTCATGAACCATAACATTTTTTAAATATTGCGACTCTTTTTAAGTTATTTATAGACATAAGAAAATTTCAAGTTTTAATTAATTTTTTTTTAAATTACTATCTAAAAAAATTTTTTTACTGTGTCAAAAAACTTAAAAATGTAATACAACGTCCCTAGTTATTGTAAGGGGGAAAAAAGTTTAGCTTACATCCAAAATAATTTTTATGAGTGTCTGAAAATTAAAATGTTGACAAAATTAATCAAAATCACGAAAATTGCCGAATTATTTTGAGTTAGAAATTCATAAAAAAATGTTCTATTAATATATTATCTAAACTTTGAATATTTAACACAAGATTCCCCAGTTTTCCTACATTTAATAAAAAAAAACATTGGATATTCATCAGTGAATCAACAAATTTTCTTAGATCTTCTCCTTTTATTCAAAACTCCTAGGTACTTGAGAGTTGAAATATACATAAAATGTTTATTCCATCAGTTCCTATACTTGACGACATTTTCAAAATAGTTTGACTCTTTTAAATTTATTTATAGACATTTTAAATGTTTTAGTTTTGTATTTTATCAATACAATT